CAGCCCCACCAGCCCCAGCTACAGCCCCACCTCGCCCTCCCACTCGCCCGATGGCGACGACGGCGGCGCGGGCGGCGGCGGCGGGGCTGCATCGGGCAGCGCGGCCGGCAGCTTCAGCCCGACGGCCAGCTGAGCTGGGGGGCGGCCTGCCGAGCTGGCGGCGCCGGCGCGCAGGCCGACCCTGCGGTGACTCAGGGCGCCGCGCCGCGGAGGGTGCGGTGCCTTCACGGGTGTCACCGCAGCGGTGGCTGCGGGCAGCCGGCACCCGCGGCACATACAAGCCGGCGGAGGCACTGGGGGCTCAGCCACCATTGACAGCGCAGCAGCAGCGGCGGCGGCAGCAGCGGCGGCGGCAGCAGCGGCGGCGGCAGCAGCGGCGGCGGCAGCAGCGGCAGCACCAGCAGCGGCGGCAGCGACGGCAGCCGCCCCAGCGCACCACCTGGGACCCGCAGTGGGCGCCGCCGGGCCTGCGTACCTCAGGGGCCGGGGCGGCGATTGCGCAGCAGCGGCGGCCATGGCTCGGCGGCCTCGGGGTTTGGGGGGCAGGCAGCTTTAGGGGGGCCCGCCGCATATCGGGCGCAGCCGTGCTCCCGCTGATTCATGTCCGCAGAATAGGTTAGCTCGTCTTGGTGGCTTTGGCCACTCGTGGTTTCCAAACTGACCTGTGAACGACGGCCTGTTTTGCGTTTACAACCACTGTGATATTCGTCCTCGCTCAGCCTCTTTCTCTCTCTTTGTCTTGCCCTCTCTCGCTCGCTCTCTGTGTCTTTTGCTCTTTCTCTGGATTGAGCATGGAGCTGCGTTTCTGCGTGCACGTATCAGGGCGACATTCACACCCCCTCCTCGATGAGTAATCCAAACGTGTCACTAGTGACAAACATACTCGCGCACGCCAGCACACGGCAAGGCAGCCAGGCACAGGCGGCAGCACGGCAGCGTGACCTGTCGCTGCGCGCAACATCTGCAGGGGGTTCGACCAGAGTCAAGATCGCCGCATGCTTTCCAACTCCGCCAAGGCAGGCTTGGCGAACATCAGCGTTCCATCCTGCCGCGTTGAATCCTGCAGCTCTGCCTCCGCCAAAGCGCTCGGGTGCAATTATACAAAGTGTTGTTACAGTTGCAGTTGGCTCGCGCGTGATAAGGTGTTGGTACATCGCAGAGCAGGGTGGGGCGCACCCCAGAAAGGCAGCTTCGAGCTCGCGAGGCTCTAGCGCAGGCGTGCCATGCCCTGCCCGCTGCTATAACCCGGGATGCTATTGTAAAGGCCTGCTCCTCACGCACACACGCATGCACACGGTGTTCGTCGGCCGTGCGTCCAACCCCCGGTTGCAAAGGCTCAAAGGCAATTCCCTTCTCCTTCACTGGGGCCCACGTCATGCCAAAATGGGGACAGGGCAACGCACAGGGGCCCAGGCGGGATCAATCCTGCCTGCGCACAAAATTCAAAAGGGTCGGCGGTTCGAGGCACCTGGCTTGGGCTGGCCTAGGGGAAGCTGAAGGGGCGGGTCGGTCGCTTCAAAACGAGGGGCAGGAGAAGGAGGGCCGGGCGACAGCGGAACGCCGTGCAGCGCTCAGCGCGTGCGCGCTCGGGGCGAACGGCTCGCGTGTGCGTTATTCCGGGCAGCCGGCTAGCCATGGGGGTCGCTGCAGGCAAAGCAGCAACGGGCGCCCCAAAAGGTGCGGCAAGCATCGCATAGCGCCGGCCGCACGCGGCGCCGCGCCGCACGCGTCAACAGGGGCGGGGGCGGGGTAATGCTACAATCGCACGACACCGGCAAGGGCGGCGGCAACGGCTGCCGCCCTTGTCGGGGCCGCTGCAAATCTGTCTGGGCAACTTCCGAGTGGTGGGGGGCGCCAGGCGTGGCATCCCTCCGGGAGACTCTGAGTCGAGGTTGTATATTCAGTGCTGAAACATTGGAGTGACACAAGAAATCGAAGCGGCGGCGCGCCGAATATTCGGCCCCCGCAGGAGCGGGCGGCGCCGCTTGCGTCACGCGGTTGCCGGCGCCCACGCAGGCGCTGGCGCGTCGCGCCGCGGCGCCGCTGGGAGCGTGGGTGGGGCCGGGCGGGACTGGGCGCGGCGCGGCGCAGCGCGGCGCGTGAGCCTGCGAGGGCGGGACGCCCGCCCGCCGCCGGTGCGCCGCACCCTCTGATTGCCCCCCCCCCTCCCGGCCCCGCGGCACGCTCACTGCGGCCGCCCATGGCCAGAGGGGAGGGAAAACGCACCTCGTCGAGCGGGGCTCATCAAACATGAGGGAACAGGGGCGCGCAGGACATTGAAAGAGGGGATTGTTCCCGGGGGCAGAAACGCAGCCACACTGAGGAGCCCTCCCCGGACGCATCGCCGGGATCCACCCGCCGCGGGCCCAGAAGAAATCTTGCCCCCCCCGGCAGCCAGCGCTCACGCGGCGCGGGCGAGCGTGCGTGTCTAGTATGGCGTGTGGAAGGATGCCTGCCTGAGAGGGGAAAGAACTGGGCGCCGCCGGGCTGGCCGGCGGGCGGGCCCCGCGTGCCTCAACCCTATAGCCTTTGGTCAGCGCAGTCTGATGAGGAGTGCCGCCGAGGCGCGGCGCCGCGTAATGCCAGGCGTGCCTGGTGGCGGTGGGAGTGCTTGATACAGGGAGCGGCCGCGGGCACGTCGGGGGTGCGGGTGTCACCAGGTGCCGTCCTGAGCGGGGCGGCCAGGGGCGCGAAGCCGCGCGGCGCGTGGGGGCACCGGTTGGCGACGGCGGCGGGCGGGGGGGTTGCCCTCTCAACCCCCTTGGGGTTCACAGGCGCCGCGCATGCAGGCGCCCGGCTCAACACATGCGGGGCGCGCTAGCAAACCCCAAGCATCCCCGCCACCTCGCTCCATCGCCCCTCCTCGCCCCTCACTCCACTGCAAGACCAGTACGCCGCCCTCCCCCCCTCACACCGCACTCCAACCG